AGATATGCATCCACCTCCTCCTATTCAAAATACTATGGCTTCAGCATCTGCACTACCTGCAGTTAATCGCTCTACCCTTCATGATTGTGCCAGTGCTCACAGAGAGAGGCCTTGGCAGGCAAAAGTTCAAGTTTCTCAAAACGAGGACCCAACTACGCCTCAAATACCCTTAAATTCATCCACTCATAGTTTAGCAGTCTGAACCGGTATAATTAAACCTACATGAAACTATCTCAAACATTATTGTACTAATATTTGTATGATATTACTATGATATTTATTTGTATTAAAATTAATATACAATTTGTTTGCAATCTTACTGTGAATTAAAGTTAACATTTTACTCCAGGGACAGGATTTAGGGTATAGAACTAGTTTCTTAGAGGGCTGAGCGTTACATGTTGCATGGAGCACGGCATACCTTTTGAGTGCAAGGCACCATACCAGGAAAGTAAAGACTCAAGCAGTGTATGCAGGGTCCATGGTTGATTTGGGGGTTCGAGTTCGACCGGCAATGCCCCCTCCCGCTCTTAGCCCAACAGTTCCTCTTACTAACTACCATATTGCAGACACTTACAAGAATAGATCCCCCAATCTCAGCCGCAGACCGAGACGCCCGCTTCGACCACCCCACAAAAGCAGTCCTACCCTCACTCCCCCGAAACACCCCCACAAGTACATTAATCTTCATACCGAGTTTGACTTTGTCCAAATGGTGAACCACCTCCACAACACCCCTATCTCCGTCGGTGCCATCACGGAAAAAATACCCGTCTCCGTCGCCCGTGAACGGTCACATATCTTCACAGGCCGTCACTCGGTTCTTCTTTACAACGGGTGTTGAAAAATGGTGGGTGCTCGGGAAATGATCGGTGAAGAGGGTTTTGCGCAGTGGAGCGGAACAGCACAAGCAAATGTGCTCAGATTGTGTTAAGCGGTAATTGACACTATGATTTATATTGCACATGTTGGAAGAGAACCAGCTAAAATACACCAAATAAGTCGAAATTTAAAATTCTCAATTATCGCCTGACACTAGTTAGACAAAGTTCTACAGCGGAGGAGTTATCCCAGATAGAAAGTTATTCTAGATTTGAACTTTTTTGGGCTAAATTCGTATGTTTGGTTTTGGGGAAATTTCTGTGGTGGGGGTTTGAACAAAATCCACATACAAAGTGATTCACTTCCGCGTCTGATCCGCTTTCCGGTCCAATACGTTACTTGTGTGTATACGAGGACAGCGGAAGTAAAATTATCACCAGGGTCATGTAAGAAATGTTTACGTGAACGCGACGATTTTATTTTTCACCGCACTAGTATGACACGCTGTTCTCCCCCGCCAACCCCAACGCATTCAGGAACACGAAAAGAGAGGGAAATTCCTCTGAACGCCTAGCGTACTCAATCTAAAACCCCCAAGCAAAAGCAGAAACTTCCAAGCAAGAGCAAAAACAAGCAAATCCTTCCCCCTTCAGACACCGCCCAGCCACGCATCCCCGGAATACAAGCGATAATAATAATAACAATAACAATAATAATAACAATAATAAAATGCAAAAAAAATATTCTTTTCTTGTTTTTTTTTTGGGTAGTTACTTCTCATCTTCGTTGGTCTCAATTGCCTAAGAGTATGTTAGCAAAACACTCTCATAGTGACATGTAGAGTTCATTACAGGGCCTCCGGGGCCCCGAAAACTGCGGGTCCCTGCCCCCGTTCCCCACCCCGCCCCGGCGTTTGGCCCGAGGTGGGGCCTATTTTCTCCTCCATTCCCTCCCCGGCCCGATACGGCCCCCCGCCCTGGCCACCCCCCTGTACGGGGCCCCGCTACCGCTCCCACCAAATTATATAGCTGGGAACACAATTGGGGTCGCCCGGTAGCCCCCATGCGGGGGGCGGGGCGGGGAGGGGGGAGTTTTGCAGCGCCCCGTGGCCGTAACGGGGCAGGGAGAACTTGCGGAAACCCGCCCCGCCCCGTAACGAACACTAGTGACATGACAACTTAATTCATCTTACCGCTGTTTGAAAAAATTGAATCAAGTGCGGTTTCGCGGCCTCCTACGCCAATGATCCTGCCACCTGTCACGAATTGTGTTAGAAGGTAACAGTTTAAATTTGATAGTAACTTACTGCCAAAAGAGTAAAAATCCCGGAACAAGCACCGGTCGTGATCCACTTGATGAGGTTGATTTCTCCGCCCAAGTCTTTAGGGCCTGTTCGGCAACGACCGTTCCGTTCCGTTCGCCCATACAAATTGCCTTATGGTTCCGTTCGCGAACGGCCATTTTGTATGTACGAACGGAACGGAACGGTCGTTGCCGAACAGGCCCTTAAATTTTGATGAGAACTCATCCCGCATACGTTACATGTTCATCATTAATTGGACTTTCGAGATGGCAAAGTCCTATGACATAGTTAGTAGATTTCAAACTTAGAGTGTACAGGAGACAAACCTTTCGAAGATCCGATAGGTCTCGTTCTAGTTGCGAGATTCGTGCATCGAATTGCGTGAGCCTCTCAAACTACAATCTCTATTATTAGCTGAATCGGGAGTAATATAAGGGTTTACTTACCACCGGAGACTTTGACTGCCCGATGTGATGGCGGACGATGGTTCGGTAGTTTAGGGGTCTGTAGAGTGGGCGGAATCGTACAGCGGTCATGGGTTGGAAGAGGGGGCGGGGCATGTTGTAAGAGCAAGAAAAAGAGCAATGGTGAATTGTGGTATGTTCGGGTGGAAGGTTTATGTGGGGGGGGTAGGATGGGTGGGGGGGGTAGGATGGTGGGGGGAGGGGGAGAGGGGCGGGGTGGGGTGCAGGAAGAAGAGGGGGTGGAGAGAGAACGGGAGAGCCAAGTTTAAATGTCCCCAGATCTGCATGCCAAGACTTGGCACCCCAGAATGGGATGACCTCTTCAATGCCACTTACGGTAGTATATGCACTCAAGCCCAATACGATCTACGATGGATAGCAGTGCGCCCTCGGCCAACACCTCCAGCCCTCGACGCCATCCTGGACGGGGTGGATGGTGGTTGACTGTATTCGAAAGGACCCCTCACTGTAGACTAGATATCCCACCGTCCTGAAACGCCAGATAGACAGTGACCCGAGCGGGTGGACCCCGGAGATAGACTACATGTGCGATCCGAATGGCAGGCCATAGCATGCATTCAATAATAGCGTCAGATCATTGGCCTAGATATATTCATGACTATGTAAAGAATCGGCGGTCCAGCCCCAACTCCGCCTGCTACACAATATAATGCTAAATCAATAACGCTAAACCACTACAATGAGCCCCAGTCTTGTATGCTACCTAAATGGTACAATGGGTTTAATGAGGGAAATAGGGAAGGCACATAGATTCCCAGTATGGGGAAGGTTTGTTGTGCCCCTGTCGTTGTCTAGAGGCAACATTATTAATTACTACAAGGCCGCATATTCGTAGATGTACAAATCCCAGTTGTGAGGGTCCCATTCTTTGGGTCTATCAGCGGCCCCAGTTAATACCCTCCCTCCTCTACCGCCTCCCCATCATCATTAGTGTCTGCATCATTGACATGTGCATCAGCACACGAATAACCGCAATTAGCAGGATCTGGGGGAACACTAGCGAGAATAGAGAACTGACCACCAGCAGCGGTGAATGTCATCCGGACACCTCTGGTAGCCGTGTTTTCAATCTTTGTAGGGGTCATAATCTCGTCACTGGCATCGGGACCTAGGCCGGTTTGATAACTACCATTGAAGCCCCAAGAGTATGCTTCTCCCTCCATCGAGACGGCAATATTGTGGTCCGTGCCGCAACCAATGGTGGAGAACCTAATACCGGGGACAGCATGTGGGGTCCTGAGGTAGCGGGGGCTGCCCCTCGCGTCACAGACACAATCGTCCGCTGAAAGCGCAGCAGGGTCCATACCGAGCTGTCCACCGTCAAGACGCCCCCAGACCAGGAGCTCACCACTCTCGGTCAGGGCGGTTGAGTGATGTTCTCTGGCGGATATCTGAACGATTGCGTACCCTGCAAGACGCTGGACGACGGTAGAAACGCGAATCACAGTACTATCCTCCCTGGTGTGCTGAGGCTCATATATCCCGCATTGCCCATATTGATTGAGCCCCCATGCCCAGACACTGCCGTCCCTGGTAATTGCGAAAGAATGATATGAGCCAGTCACAACGTACTTGACCTGGCACCGGGGAAGGGACACCTGGTAAGGGGTCAGCCCGGTGAGGCAACATCTCTCAGAGACACGCCTTCCGAGCTAGGATTGCTAACCGTTGCCCCATGCGTACATGTCTCCTTCCTTGGTAAGGCCAAGGACGTGATCAGTACCTATACTGACCTGAATGATGCTCTGGGGCGTAGGTAGCAGGACTGGAACCTCCTTTACACTAGTCCTCTCCTTGAATCAGAGAATGCCGTCAGCGTACTAAGAATTAAGTTAACCATACTAACCCCGAATGAAGAATTAATCACATACCCTAAATGTTCCCCATCCGTAAAGCCTACCGGTGTCAGTAACAGCGATCAAAATACTGTCACTGGCAGCAATACTCGGAATCACAGTCACCTCCGGGGACACTGTAATCAGCATTGGTGTGCTCTCCAATGGATTCAAGGGCACCTCGTCGTCACCATTGCTGTCACCATCATCGCCGGAACACACGATCCGGGTCAGAGGTGTATGCGTGATCACTCTCCCAAGAGCATAGTGATCATTGGCACCCCAAGAGTACACCTTCCCCTCGTACAATAAGGCTAAGCCGTGCAGACCACCAATTGTAATGGCAACTATTCCCACCTTATCGGGGAGGAGATGGGCATTCAATCTGGGACGCTTGACAACCTTTACATTAACCTCTGGCCCAAGGCCCAGCTTGGTATCGTTACCAGTACCAAATGCATATATGTTCAATTTCTGCATTGGGAGATGGTTGGTAATGGCCGAGATGGATTTGATGGTACTGGCCCCGCGGGCCATCGCCAATCTACCCCGAATGGCACATGGTGTTCGGTTGAGAATATCCGTAAGGGTGCTTGTGTCAGTTCCTCGCGCGTGCTCCTCACGCAGTCGGGCATCCCCCACAACTATCCACCTACACCAACCTGCCGGGATGGGCATAATAGCACCCGCTTTTCGTAACCTTGCCAATCTGGTCTGAATGGCACGCGGTGTTCAGTTGAGGGTAGCCGTGATCAGAGGGATGCTTGTTCACCGTGCAAGCCCCGCACGCAGTTGCCGGTCATCACTCTCTGCCCATCTATGCCCCGGTACTACTGCCGTGCCACGTTTACACCACCCTGGTTCGACCCCGACCCGCTTGGCGTCCCGGGACGATACCGAGGCAGCCGGTGGTCGTTTAGCCCATGCAGGACGAGACCTGTCATTCTGCGGCTCGACGGATCTGGATAATGGTAGAGAATCTATCTCAGTGTCTGTTTCAGTGTCCATCTCGGTGTCACCCTGGGTAGCTTGGTTGGTTGCTGGTGGATCCATTTCAGTGTGGCTCTGAGAGTCAGTCTGGCTGGGGTGGTTGGTTGATAGTGGTTTAGATAGCGTTGGGAACAGCGCAGTCCCATCCTTCCTGTGTTGTATGAGCTCGACAGTCAGGGCGTGAAGTAGCTCATCGGGGTGTAACAGCCCCTCTGAGTATGAGATTTACATCAAAGCTGCAATCCTGAGCCCTGCCAAATAGTTATTACTGAGAGTACAAAAACTAAGAAACTTCCCGCCCAAAACTCACATACAAGAGTGAAATCAGTGATTAATACAAAATGTCAACTTCACGATTAAGAGAACAGCGGCCAACATTCTACCTGCTTTTGTGGTTCCTTCATCTTTATCAGCTAAATCCTCCTTTTCATTCTCGGACACAGAAGTAGACTCTGTCCATCAGTGTTCCCAAGCGTCCAGTCCGTCCGTCTTTCGCCTAAGACGGGACGGACGCCGAATTTGAGGCCTTTGCCCGGGACGGACGCCAAATTGGAGTCCGTCCTAACCCATGCCCGGGACGGACGGCCGGGCCCTACAGGTGTCTCATTTGACCCGCTATTTTTAAATATCATTGGTGTGAAGCCGGTGCTTGAGGTCACGAGAGACTTTAATTCAAATGCAAATAACATGATACTTTGACACCGGGTATCAAACGAGGTGATCAATCAACCAAGCTGTGTACTCATATCCGATCCCAGTTCTGAGCAACTTGAACCTGTCCCAGTTTCCTGACCTAATCTTGTTGCCCTCTCCTCCAAATCTCTAAGCATCTTCTCTACATCTGCCAGTGGCTTCTCCGCAATCAATCTTGCCTTCCGCCATGATTTCATACACTCAATAGCCTACGGGCAATGGGTAGGGCCCTACAGGTGATGCCCGTCCTTACCAATGATGCCAGGGCCCTGCAGGTGACGCCTGTCCTTACCAAGGACGCCAGGGCCCTACCGGAAGCTTCCGTTTTCAGTAAGACTGCAGGGCCCGGCCGTCAACCTGCAGGGCTGGAGTCGGTATCGAAGACGGACGCCATGCCCAGCCGTCCTCCCCCACCCTGCCCGGGACGCCCGGGACTATTGCCCGCCAGGGCCCTGCCGTCTGCCCGGGACGGTTGGGAACACTGCTGTCCATTTTAATAAAGCTCGGAACGATTTTTCAGCCTTCCACATCCCCTCACAGTCTGCAACAATTGTTGCTCACTTATTCATAGCTTTAATGATATGCTTATACTCTAGTTGTAACATGTTCATGCCAGAATACTAGTCATACTGTCAGATACAATAGGAGTAGAGCACTAATCTACTAGAGAGTAACAACTCTAGGTTTGCTAAGGGAGGCTTCAGTGGTGTAATAGGAAGATAAATATAACAGTTCAACTGAGTATATTAGAATACTGTCTGTCGAAGTCTGCTATTTCCATCATAGAAATCAGCGGTCTTTTAAGTATATATCCTTGACTATGATCATGGATTCTCACTCATGTTCCCACTCAAATAATGTATAAAAATAACCAATTATCAACCAATACTTAAAACAAAACATAAAACAAACTAACTGAGTACCAGCTCTGGTTACACTAGTGTCATCTAAAATTAGTAATTGCAACTTCCTACAAGGTATAGAGAAGGAATAAACTTACTGATGAGGGAGGCTGCAACATTCCATTTCACACCATAGACAAAGTTGAAGGTGTCAGAATATTTAAGAAGGCCACAAGAAAATAAATCAACATCAGTCACCATGTCACTATCATGCACTGATTTATTGCCGTATCTTATAACACTGTCATTCCCGGCAAACCATCTATTTTCACTATGAGAGCAGACTGTAAAAAAATGCTCTCAGATTGAAACTGCAATGGACTGCAGAGGATAGAGGATCTTAACCTCTCCTTCAAGTCTCTTAACCTCTTCTTCAAATCCATCCAAATGTTCATTCAACTTATGAATAGTAATTGTAAGAGTTTGGAGCGTAGAAAGAAGTTCCTTCCCATTGTTGTTGGTATAAACAATACTATGACTGTTATCGTCAGGAAAAACTGATTCCTGGAATGATACAGAGAAAGCTAACAACTTGAAGATCATTTACTTCCAGACTTAAGTCATCTCAGGTTCTGTGTTTTGCCAGGTCTCAACCTTGGCAAAGAGCAAAGTGGTTTTCATCTATTTAATAACCTGTCTGTTAGTACTTTGCAAAAATCAGAGCAGTCATACATACTTTGAGTCCTGATAGGAAGGGTCCACAGTCTTCCTCATATGGGTATGAAATGGTTGCAGGCACCGAAAGGTATGTGGTCTCAACTTGTATAGCCCTGGTAGCAGACATGCAAGGCAGAAGGAAGTGCCTACGTGATTTTTAGAAGGTGGAGGAGGGGGAACTAGGAGTAAGAAGTCCAGTGAGAGCAATGAATGGCGGCACCTCACTAGGGAATAGACAAAGAAAGTAGGGTTGAGAAAAAAATCGATCTGGTAGAACCTGGAATAAATTATCGTACAATAAATTGCCAGCAGTAGGAGTCAGATATTGGTAAACTCCAGATTAAAATTCTGGCTGTGGTATCGTGGGAGAGGATAAAAATAAGGGTTAAAAATGAGTTCAAGTATCTGTTGTATAAATGAAGTTTGTGGAGATAGAGGTGAGTTGGCAAAGGAGGTGAGGGATGGTAGGCGGGGGAGAGAGTCCAAAGAGAGAACACATTTTATGGTATCATATCAAGCATCGAGGATGACTAACAGCACGAAGATACG